GACACACATGTTGCGTTTCCTACTTAGGTCAAACCCTTTAATTTGTGCTGGCATTAGGCTCCGTCCACATTCCTAAAGTTTGTTTTCGTGGCTGTGGCTAGGACACTGACGCATGGTTCGTAGTAGTAGCCCCACCCACCGGTGGCGACTCCACCCAGACATGAGAAGCCCGCGAACTCGTAGCTAGTATATGTAGAACGCGCCTGCTCCCTCACTCGCCTTCCCCTCTCTCTCTCTCATCCTGTGCTTCTGCTCTCGGCCATGCTTACTTGCTGTTAGCCTCTCGTCCAACTCTAAAAAAAAAAAAAAAAAAAAAAATAAAAAAAAAAAAAAAAACTCACTGGATAATAAAGGCTCTTATTCAGGACATTTCTGAGGATTCTGCCTGTTTTTCTTCTCATAGTTCAATGTAGTTTTTTGATTTCGTTGGACTCCATATCCACGCTGCCATCCGCGACAAGAGGGCACCATTCATTAGTTCGGGGACTTTGGTGGAAGTCCGTACTACGCCACCCCCTCGCCTTTATTAGGTAGGTGCACCCCCTGATTCTCTCCTCATCGGGCTGTCGTGCGGGAAGGGGAGAACGGCCACCACCCCCTTCACAACGTCTCTGAAACAAGAGAAATCGACTATCAAAAAATTTTTTTCTCAGCCACAGCCCAAGTACACTCCTTCTCCCAGCTACCAAATACGACCCCCGCCCTGATCGCGCCATGTATCTTTAGAATAGTAATCTTTCGATATCATTGTCAGTGTCTCAATCTTTTACCATGTAATAGTGTCATACCTCGTAATCACTTCATGCCCATTTGATGCAGGCTTTTTACAGTACTGAATGAGGGTTACTATTGTGATTTTTTTCTCTGTTTTTTTGTGTTTCGGTGCCGCTCCTGTATCTCAAGCGTGTATCAGTGTACGGTTGCAATGTTTATGCAGCCGTGGAACGCCTTGCCTCATTGATCACTTTCATACACATGATATGCCTCTTATTTTGTCTTTACTTTCCTTGTTACTGTACCTAAACTACTTGTGAATCAAGAGCATAAATTCTTCCATGAAATGAAATGAAGTGAAGTGTCTTCCTCGAAGGCAAACTTTACATTCACCTACGCGGATCCTAGTCTTTGCCTTCTGTAAGGTGAATAGGTCCGATGCTGTAATAACGTACCAGTTTTTGTGGTCAGAAGTGTACCGGCGGGACTGGAGAGTAATGCTACATAGACGATGTCTCAATTCGCCGCTCGCACTACAGCAGGGCCGGCCACACGCCTAAGTATAGCCAAACACGCTGCTTGTCTGCACCCTCTCACTTCTCGTCGCTCTCTTCTTTTGAGTGCGTGTTTCGCTGCGAGGTCTTGGTACGTCGCAAGTGTTGCACACTGAGGATAGGGTGAAGTATCGAGGATGCACCCGGATAGCGGGTCCGCCTTTATCAGTCGACGGTCTGCTTCCCCGGACGCATAGCAGAAAAGCCTTCGCCGGTGTAGGGACACGAGTCAGTACTGATCAAGGAGGACTAACGTCGGGGAGATCACGGATCCCCGCGTCCACAATAATGTCTTGCCACCAAACTTTTCCCCTGACGTCGCCTACATGGCTCCTAAAGACACATTTCAAGGTTACCCGTGCAAAGAACAAAAGCTGTCCAGCTGCATTCTCGTAGGTTGCCTGATTTAGCGGCTCCTTCATGCGTTTGATGGCGTCCCATTGGTCACAAGCTAAAGTAACGCCACCCGTAAGAGTTGCCTCACCCATTGGGAACGAGATATGAGAGAAGTCTCATATCGACAAACACGGACGTGACTCGTTGTTTTCATTCTGTGCAGGAATGGTCTTTGCTGTCTCCTCCTTCGGCTCGTCTTCGTGTTCTGTCATCCTTTGTCCCTAGTCTCTCACCTAAGCAGCACTGTCTCGCTTTCGTCTACTCGCCTAATCCTAGGGCCTTCTTTAAGGCATCTTCGGCGGTTTGGTACACGCTTTTCTTCATTGGAAATTCGGTTTGCACCTATGAATCCATGTTTGGACTCTGAAGCCCCCACGTTTCAATTGCGGAATGTGTCTCGAAGTAACCGTGGAGGGGGCGGGCGCAACACATGGGATAGCATCATTGTTATGCTTTCAAAAATCAACGTACGGCTGATATCTTCGCGATCAGTGAGGGCATTTTCAAGAGGACTAGGATGAAAGCACCGCTCCATTTCCACTACTGGTTGTTTCCTTCCTAGACCGATCACTAATCGATCACCATTGGTAGAGCAATGCAGCCGATGGCGGGCTCACTCCGCCCCTCCTGGCACCGCCCCGATTGATTGCGACGTTGCCAACTATGCATGCGTTTTTCTTTCCAATTCACACGAAGCTTTTTGCTAGCCGGTGCAGTAATTCATATATTGTACATTGTACTTCATAGTATCATCTACTAACTGTATAGAGATAAATCGTAAAAACTGTGGAAAGGTGAGGGCTGAATCGCTGTTCTGGCCTCAGCCCACTCACAGGACGTGCAAACACGCCCACATAATCCACCAATCTAATTTCGCGGCTATCCATAGAAAAAGTTCATGTTTGCACAGAGTTACTACATTGCCACGTACCGAACAGCAAGCAAAACGTGCGCGTTTTATTCGTTCTTAGCCCAGGAGCACATGCTTTACTAATTTTTCTTTTTGAAGGATTACATTCTCCCGAAATATTGGGATATATCAGTTTTCTGGAATTTTCCATTATAGCCCTACATGAACGAATGCTCTCTGATCCGGCGATCAATGGGTTGACCTTGATCCCATCTTTCTCGACAACCGGTGCTGGCCATTTCACTGCTAACTAGTTTTCTGCCGTAGTACTAGTTGTATTTCGTGCAATTTCTTTACCACATTAGCATCCTGTGAACATTTTCACCGCTTATATTACAGTTTGCTTCAAATTGGTATGTTTTACTATCGCTCTTGTTAGAGATTTTAATATGGTGAAGAAGTGGAGAGAGATGCTGGAAATTCAGCCCTCCAGAAAAACACTCAAAAGTAAAAAATCCGTTTCATGTATAGTCACGAGTGTGACTTTTGGACTCGTATTAAACTGGCTTCTTATGGATAACAATCATTTACGATTTTATCATTTCCCATTTGCCGTCCTATCGCGCACGTTTTCGAACTCCGCAAAATGTTTTTTTTTCAAATAGCCCATCTGCTAAGGCCACGTACTAGGGTATTAGTTTCCATCGGCCACCACCAATTCTCTTGACGGATTTAGATTAACATGTAGCAATCTTGCAGGAGTCTGGGCGGGATCACATGACGTGTCTTGACACCTTCTGGGCCTCGTCCTGTGAGGAAGACAGCTCGTCTGAATCACCGAGGATCTTAACTAACAATAAGCAGACGTGTTGGTTGGAAACAGGACTACATAGTAGCGGCTGCAATCCGAGTAAGAGCGTCAGTTCAAAAATCAGTGGTTCAGTGATCCGGACGAGTTACCCGGATTAGAGGAGGGGTCCCCTGACCTGTTATGACACCTCAGCGACAATGTGACCGTGCCAGTATGATCGCGCCCTGCTTCGTAAGGTATTACCTGGGTGGAAACGAGCTTTGAATCCTACTTGGGTTATCGATGTTCCTCTATCGATCAACGATCGGTTTCCCAGCAAAGTTCTATATTGTTGAATGTTTTTATCTAATATTTGTTTCTTACTACCTTTTAACTAGACGAATTTTCATAATGTCACTCCAATTTTTTCTCATTAATTTTTGCTTTTTGGGCTTTCTATTACCAGAGTTAAAAAGTTTATCCCACGCCATGACGCTGGACCATTGTGGAGGGTTTTCGACGTAGGTGGGCAAGCGACACAGCTTTGTTCGCGGTATCGATCGACGTCCGCCAAAAGGCAGAGAGGAGAGCCGTCAGCTGATAACAGACCAATGAATCTGAGGTCCAAAGGAAAAGGCTGTGAGTTTCACTGTATCGCACTTTATGAAGCACCTGCTGCCAGGAACTACTTACTTATAGTTTGCCGGTCCTTGACCAGTACCGCTCGAGTTCACGCGTTGCTATGGACTCCAGTGCTATTTAGTCATGGAATATGAAAGTCGTTCTTGAATTAGTCCTACTCCCGTCAGAGCTGGTCTTCACCGACGTAATTAGCGCTGATCGACGCCTTTTCATCTTACCAGGCGTACCCTCCATCACTCTCCACCTCACATTAAATGCTGCACGCATAGGCTCATTTTTCTTTCAAGCAGCGATATGCGCCGTCTTTCCGAATCATCACCTCCTCTCGGTTGACGCTGACGGATACTGTAGAAAAGCCATCGTTTCAGGACTCACTAAACGAGCTTCTGTATTTGTTATAAACTTGTAACTGTTTCAATCAGGAGAGTAGTATTATAAATCAGTTCGCCCCAGGTACTTCGGAGTGCACAGAATCAATCAGAGGAATCTTTGGCATTCGTTTAGTTTTCTAAGAAAGCTTTTTTCACAATATCGTTTGGCGGCGATAATTCGCCGTCACCACCACGTCCGTCTTCCACATAAGGCAACTCGTCCAAAATTTCGAACTAGTCCATTTCCTCATAGTAAGTGATCATCAGGAACTTGGCTGAAACATTAGTACCGAAACCCAACACTCGCAGCCTCATGTAGGCATGAATTCCGCATGCGTTCAATTCATTCAATTATAATTCAGTGATCCGGACGAGTTATCCAACTTGGTAGACACGTACCTTTCACAACGGCAATGTAATCGTGCCAAACCTCCCGGCTCCCGGAAAGTCCAATCACACTGGTGTCGTTGAATAATTAATACCTTGCAGTCATGTAGGTCCTGCCGCGATAATAAGCACTGCAGCGCTCGATAAGAGTAAACGGGAAGTAGAGCATGTCATTCGCTCCTTCATCTTCTCATGCGGGTTTTATAGTACGTGTTGCACGCCAACTTCATAGATTCTTTTGGGGTTCTTTGTCCCGTGTTACACTTGAACTCTGAGTGTTGGCGTCTTTTGGAGGGATGAAAGCCTCGAAATTCCTAATCCAAGTGCTAAAACCCAATACTGAGCTGGACGAGGTACGCGTGTGCTTATCGATTGTCGTCGTCCTGAATTGTGGGCTGGTGCATAGGCTATAGGCTCCGATGTGAACGCTGTTTTTTGCACTTTTCTGCAAAGACCTCGACCTCAATCTCGTCGTCTTTCTCGTGTTAGTCATCCTCCTCTCCTCCTCCTCCTCCTCGTCGCCGTCCTTTCGTCATACACGTCAGTCTGCGATCATTAGCACGAACTACGGTTGGGAGGGAATCTGTATGAGCATCATTTTTACTTTCTGAAGGAAATCCACTCCAATTCTTCTTTAGTATCTCACTTTCGATCTACGAATGTGATATGTTCGGACAGGTCTTGGAAGGGGTAAGTGACGCTCTTTCAATTGGAATTTCTGAAAAATATATTTTTTTGACTACGAAGAAGCACTTGTTTGCCGCTGTCGACTTGAATATTTATTATTTATTATCGATTTCCAGCCCGTTCCGAAGAAGTTCTTTGTTTTGAGCTGTTTACATCCGTTACTGCATAACGACTGTTTTGTTTTTCATTCTGATATCCTTTGATTTAGATGGCCGCTCTCAACTACAAGACCGATGACAGTAGCGGCATGGTGTTTCTTTCTGGGAATTCCCATCCGGAACTCTCACGGCTAGTTTCGGAGTAAGTAGTTCTGTAATTTTGGTTTCTGTACTCCTAACCCACAATATTCCGGGCTTGTCCAGATTTCAAAGGCAATTTTCTATAGAACATCACAGTCCTTGCTTTCTACGGAAAGATTGTGAGTCTTTCCATTCATAGAAATTTGAGAACTCTAGCTGTCTGCGTCCCCAAACCCCATACATTATTCGAAATTTATGCTGACAACGATCGAAGTGGGAAATGAGCCTAGTTAATAACCATCATCAAAATTCCCATGATTTCGTGTTAAGATCCGGATGGTTCCTAACAACTAAACGTTTGGTGATGGTCCTGCTGCGAAAGGCCAGAGCGCAGAGAAATAAATAACTGCGGCCGTCAAGGCATCGAGAGGTACAAAAAAAGACGTGAGCCAGGAATGATTTTTTTTCAAAGGGAGAGGGCACCGGGGTGCATAAGCCACTTGTTATGCGTGAAAAATTGGAATGTGAACGGTTAGAGCGGTGCACCATGCTGACGTGAGAGCGGAAAACAGAAATTTGGCGCCACTGCAGGGATTGAGTGTTAATTGCCCGTGGACCGATGGCCACTCTAGTCATCTGGCAGTCGCTCAGGTCTAGCTTGGGGAGAGGTAGGGCACTATATCGGCAAGAGACTGCAGATGCGAACGTTTACTCGCGCCATCGCGTGCAAAGGGTTAGCGCCTTCCCACGATATCTTATGAATAGCGTTTAGAAACATCAGAACAAAGGGGTTTCAGAAATAAGGTCCCAGGTGTTGGGGCGCAAGGTGGTCTCGCGCGAATTCTTAAGAATGATCCTCTCACGGTTACACGACTCTTGTCAACAAGACATGCTCTCGCTGAAGGGTCCAAAGGTGTTTTTTCCATTGCATTTACTGGCCCAACAGTTGAAGGGGGAGATTAGAAGGAAGAGAGAAGAGAGGAGAAGGAAAGACGGGGGAGAACTTCGCGGTTGACAAGTTTCCCAAGACCTGACTGTGAATCTTTAAAAAGTCTTCTTTTTTGCATCATTAGAAAGTATGTAAGTCATCCTTATTGTTGCTCCGGTAATTCTTGACAGTTTAGTTGTTACCGCTTACAATAACCTAGTAATGTTTATCGACATAATTTATTCTCACTGCTGATGGCTCAACTAGTTCTCATTTGCAATTTTTGTCCAATAACACTCATTTTTTTTGTTTTTAGTCGGCTTGGTATACGTCAAGGAGAAGTGATCGTTTACAACAAGACGAACCGAGGTTCGTTCGACTCTTCGTACCCAGTCCTTGGGAAAGTTTTGATGTTTTCATCTTCTTTCAGAGACTTCCGTTGACATAAAACAATCAGTGCGTGGAAAGCATGTTTTTATTCTCCAAGTGGATCAAAGTACGTTTCTCAAGCCAGCTTTTTGTTTTTTTTTTTTTTTTTTGTTTTTTGAACCCACTTGGTGTAATAATTGCTCGAGTCAGAGCATCAGGAGCTTTTTTACTGTCGCTTATCCAGTTGAACGGAGCCACGTGTGGTCGCTTCGACACATTCCTTCCCTTGCTCAAAGCTTCAGCGCCTTCACACTTAGCGACTGTAGAGAGTCAGCGATTTCGCAGGAAACTATAAGTACGATCCGGCGGTTCTGAGCAATCGCGCGCAGGAGTGAATGGTTATCTATCGGTGCCGGAGCCGTTGCGGAGATTCGTCAATCCGCCGTTTTGGGATGTTGGGCTGTTAGGCAATTCTTCCCAATAGCCAGATCTATACCCATACTTTTCTTCTCTAACCTCTCGAATGGCAGAATCTCCTCAGTCGCGAAGTATGAACGGCTGGCCAAGAAGTCTCAGAAGAGCGTGGACAACGAGAGCTGCGCGCGACACAGTCTTATGAACGAGACAAGCGCACCACTGAAAGGCTCTGCGCAACTACATGAGCACCTTCTGTGCTTGCAACTAACAGAGAGTTTTTATAATATATGGTCTGGGTTACGTTTCCTGCAGGCTAGGACTCATTTATGAAAAAGTCTCTGCATTACCAAATGTCGGACTTTGGTAACTTACAAAGTATTCGATAGCTGCAAGGGTTTCGCTTCGAGGATGACATTGTTTCTGCGAAACCTATGCAGTGAGTAGACATGAGTAAATGCGAGAACACGTCCGGACGTTTATCGATCGGCTAGTCTGTTTGTCTGCATATTTTTTTCTTAGTCAGTCCCTCGAAAATGAAGGCACGAAATCGATTGCTGAGCGCCATTTCGTGAAGGCATTAGAGTAACCGCCCGCCCCGCCCCGGCCGCCCCCCCCCCGGCCCCGGCCCCCCCCCCCCTCGATTCAGATTTTCGATAAGAATCCTATTAATAGCCATTGCAAAATTAAACAGTTGTTCAATTTGCTCATCTTTCCAGTTCAGAATACATCAACCAAGTAAAATTAATTACTCCAATATTTCCAGGAACGTAAATAATGATGTTATGGAATTGCTAATTCTTATCTACGCTTGTAAGACGTCGATGTCAAAACGATCACGGTAATGATGCCGTATCTGCCGTATTCGAAGCAATGCCGAATGCTTCGTCGATCATCAATTCCCATGAAGCTTATTGCAGAAATGATTTGTCGTGCTGGTGAGTTGTAGACACTCGGCTTCTTTTAAACGAGCTAACAGGACATGCCAGACAAAATGTTGATTGGTACACCCAACGATCAACCAATGCAAAAGAAATCCGTCGCACATTTCCGGTAAGCGCCACCAACGAATGTAAGCCTGTATAGCGGATGTGAAACAAGTAGGCTGCTTAGTGCCGTTTTGCTCAGCTATATTGTAATTGTTCAGGTGCATCACGTTTGGTGTCTTTGGATCTTTACAAAAAAGAAATTCAAGGATTCTTTTCGATTCCTGTGGATAATCTCCGTGCGTCACCATTTCTTCTTCCAGTATATCAAAGAATATGTGAGTACATTTATTATCTCATTTTATGCAGAAGTGTATTGGAAGTAAGAAATTTTTCAAAGCGGCAAGCGCGCGGTGGCGGTTTGGCATTGATTGGCTCCTTTGATCTCCATTGGTGCTTTATTTGTTTTCTACGTATAAGCGCAGAGTAATATCAAACATAACGCAGAGTAATATCAAACCTGAAAAAAACGTTGTACTTTTCTATAGATTCCCGACTACAAAAATGCGATCATCGTAGCGAAATCTCCTGGTGTAATGAACAAGGCGACTTCATATGCAGATCGACTTCGACTTGGTAAGTGTTCCCTTTATAAGACCTCGTTGTTGTTCTATTGTGGGTTTTAGTTCCTTCTTTCACTGTCCTGACGCGGTGAATTCATATCTTCTTCCCAGAACTTCTCTCACTAAATATATATCGGATTTTCTAAACTCTTTACAGCTTTAGGAAGTGAGTTTTACTCATTATACAAGGGCGGCAGGTATGATTCATTTAGCGCGAAAGTGTTTTTTTTTCTGTACCAATGATTTCCTATTTCTGTACCTAATGGTTTCCTATTGTGTTTGAAAAACCGAGGTAAATGAGGTACGGCCCCAATGTTACACTTATTTCTCTGAGGTGCATTCATGATTCCTATGTATACAGTCGTAAGTGAGGCAGTAACTGTGAAGTGTTGTGCTACGTACTCTGTGTGCACTACTGCAACGCACGATTCATGTTTACTGCCTTAGACAAGACAATTAGTGGCACATTTCGTGATTCCTGGGTGATGCAAGTCCTTTGGCCTCTGTGAGCCAATCTACGGTGTCTCACTTGCGCAATCCGAAACTGAGTAATATGGACGGTAGAGGCTCGTGAGGTAGCTGACACCCCGCCCATTGACCGATGTCACGCCCATTTATAACGTGTTCGTGCAAGAAATTACGTGAACAGTACAGTTTTCACGTATGTACGTATAGTTGTGTGAACGAATGTTGAGAGCCCAGATAGCGTCACCCAACTTCCTGAGATTCGTTCGGGCATAGTTCCATCCCGCAGCATAACATCGCCGGGGTCTCCTAAACGGGGGGGGGTTCATGATGAAATTATGTGGTTTTTCATGTTTATTAGCGCTGTCCCCTCGCATCCGTTGGGCGACGGTGGCGCGGTCAGTAATTTCACAATTTTCGATAGCTGATCGGAGAGGACCGGCTCGCTCAAAGGGTAAAGGTGGGAGGAGGCATATAGAAGAAACACTCCCGACCCCCACCCCCCACCCCACCCCCCATAGCGTGACGCTGTGCCCTGTTATCTTCTACAAAGCAGGGCAGAGGCGGTGGCGGTATTGAAGAGAGCACATTTGTTGCTATGAAGACGTCCGTGTCTTGAAAACTCGTCAGAGCACGTATTCTTCCTTGTGGGTTCTTACCTAAAGGCACCGTGCGGAATCGCGGAGTTGGGAAATGGCGTAACTGGCGCGCTCCTTCTCTACACGCCTTCTAACGTAGTTTCTTGGCTCCCGACGAGGTTTTCAAGGCGGTTTTGGCCTTTTCTTCGGCTTTTTTCTTCGCTGGTCACTCAAGGAGCCTCTGCACATTCATATTTGTCCCCCATTACCTACAAATTGCAATCGCGGAATGTGCCCTGAAGGGATCTGAACTGCATATCAGAGCGCTTTTGAATTTTGGCGTAGAGAGATTACTTATTCCCACTATTCGGTATTGCCTGATGGTTCAGCGTAGTGACTTAGAAAGGCATACCTCATTTATATATTCACTACTATGGCTATTTTCTTTGCACTCACCTAATGAACAGAGAGCTGAGAGATTATTCATGTTGTCGGATAAGTTATCTGATCGTTATGACCCTTAAATTGGATTGCATTAGTTCCATTCACACTAACAAAACGCTCTGAAAGTTGTGGAACGCTTCCACGCGGGACAACTCGTCCGTCCTTACCAGCGCGGCATATTACGATTGTCTTGACATATACCCTGAACACCCTCTTTGCAGTAATTGTGAAAAGAGCTTTGAATTACATCACAAATGGAGCGCTGTTCTGAGGATGATCAATCAGTTCATCGACCTTTTCCGACCCTTTCCATTCATTGCGGTACAGTGCCCTGCCTACCCCGCCACTTGATATGGAATACACCTGTGTGCAAAGAAATATTGGTCTAACCTTCATAAACAGGAATTATTCACTGTAACTGAGAGAGTGTGAACCATTCCCCTCTTACTAATACTGTATAATTGATTCCCTGAGCTCTAAGTCGCACTTGCAATACCGGGAAATAGAAAAGCCCCAGCGGGCCGCTTGACGTAAGGTCAGCGCGTCAACGCGCTACAATTGCAACAGCGCTCCAGTCCAATAGAATCGAACGCAGCCGCAGACGGGAATCGATCGGCGCCGCCCTCAGCGGAGAGTGGCGATTGATACCAGACTTCGTGATTGTGCAACGTTCTCCCATACTCCGTAAATACATAAGTGAGCAGCGCCGATCCATCTCGGTCTCGCCTGCGTTCACGTTTATAAAGCGCTGCTGCAGTTGTAGCGCGCTATAGCTGGTTGTCGCGTGATACAGCTTGCAAAGTCTGAACGCTACCCATAACTTTGCTACGCAACCGCGCGCTCATTTTCTTGGTATTGCGCCCGCGACACTTGTGATAGCTCCTACAGCAGAACGATTGTTGACTTTGAGAATAGGCTGTCTCCACCTTCCTGTGTGGTCACAGATACACTGTCCTCCTCCTAATTCTATCTCGTCTGTTCTGATCTGAGTGATGAGGTTGTGTTTAAATAGTTTTCCCTCGCACAGCTGATTGGACGCTAGCGTCCGTGCACTGAGTAACTCTGTTCAGGTGTTGCTGTGATTCACGGTGAGCAGAAGGATTCCGAAGAATCGGGACTTGAAGATGGTCGCCAAAGTCCTCCGCCCAATTATGCACCATTCGAGCTATTTCCTTGTAGGTTTCATTTTCGTTGCTGACAGTCTCATAAGTAATTTGCTGGTTGATTACCTAACATGGTTATGATTTTAGCCCAGGAACCAAAACAAAAACCTCCTTTGACTGTTGTCGGAGATGTTGGCGGACGTATCGCTATAATGGTGGTAAGTGAATACTGTTATGCAGTCTTGTTCGCTGCGATGGAGGGGCGTGTCAGTGCGACTGAGGTTTGGCGCGCCGCAAGCTCGTCCTTCTTCAGTTGTTACAGTCGGTAAGCGACAACCACCGGTGCTATCCGACTGATGCGGGCAAAAACTACATTCTGCCGAATGCCG